TGAAGATATGGTGTATCCTAGTTCCAGGGTCGACCCTAAAGCCAAGTAATCCTATAGGGACTCTTCTTGAATTCTCTTATAATGATCTTACCTACTAAATGCTAGAGGTTGAGATCAATGTGGAATTTCAAGCTGAGTAAAAAAAGAAGAGTTTTGAATTTCTAATGGTGGGGTACCTCTTCTAATTTTCTAAGACTAGTCAATAGGAAAGTCCTATGGCTAGACCTAGGCTACTAAAGAAGTTTTCTAGACCTCAACCAAAAATGAGGTCAACACCATTGAAAATTATTGGTAGTCATTTCTTCAATTAAAGCCTAAGCGTCATGAAATAGTTTTGACATTAATGAGCCACCAGCAGCGGCATCGATAATAGATCTAAGAGATCCAACTAATCCATTATAAAAAGTTTGAATTATTAACAAATCTGGTATAGCATGGTGTGGATAGTTTCTTAAGAGTTCCTTAAATCATTCTGATGCTTCATAAATAGATTGCTCTTCAAACTGATTAAAAGATGTAATACCATTTCTAAGCTTCGCAGTTTTCGATGGTGGAAAATATTTAGCAAGGATTTTTTGTGCTAAATCACCCCAAGTTCTGATAGATCCAGGTGCTAAAAAATTTAACCACATCTTAGTTTTATCCCTTAGTGAGAATAGAAATAACCTAAGTCTTATGACATCATCTAATACACCATCATATTTAAATGTAGCGCACAATTCTAGAAAATTGGCAAGATGTAAATTTGGATCTTCAGTTGGTGATCCCTCAAACTGATTATTTGATAGCATTTGCATAATAGCAGGTTTAAGCTCAAATGAATTAGCCACTATAGTAGATTTTTGAATACTACAATGAAGTTCATCTACCGTAGAGTTGACATAATCTCTTAAAGGTCTAAACTCTTGATGAATTTCAGCATTTTGATTGTTTTGGTTTGTCATTTCTGTAATCTTTTTTAGATTTTTCAAGATTTTTTTTATTTTTCTGATTTTCTTAATTGTTCTTTCTAATTAAGAATCGTAAGGCGCTAGTCTTCAGAACCTGAACTACGCATACACTAACTAAAAATAAAAATAAAATAAAACACACAAAATAAAATACAATAATTGTTATTGTTTAAATAAGATTTTCTAAAAATAGAACTTTGCTTTTAAATCAATTAATTTTTCCCCGGCAATGACGCCAAAAACTTGATCCCATTACTGTTTATGTGCACAGTAAAACAATGTCTTTGATGATATTTTTTACTTATGTTTCCTTACTTTGCAACAGTATCAAAAACATGATCCTGAAGAAAATAAGAATTTAACTTTTTAATATATATATATATATATATATTTATTGGGATACTACGCAAGTATATGTATCATTATCAAGTAATATATGACTTTTTGATTAAAACCTGAATATCAAACTCACAAGGAAATACGCAATATGCACTATTAAACAACAAACTTTCTATTAAAAAAAGATAATTATTTAAACTAAAAATATTTTTGCAGTATTAAAATTCAAATCTTTTTGGCATTTTTGATATTTTGACAAAACAGTAACAATTTAAAAAGATAACTTGAGTTTATGTAAGAGAAAAACACTAAATTTGAAAAACATCATTCTCCTTATCATGAATCACTAATAAATATAGGAATTCTGTTGTGGAAGTATACAAATTGTGTTGTGTCAAATAGGAGCAATTATGTTCTTTACCCTTACTAGAGATGCTATAAAGAACATTGGCTAATTTAAAGTTTGAATAGTTCTGAAGACCGGCTAGGCATAGGCAGGGAAGATCCCAGATTTCACTATAGATTTCCCTCGATTCCATCCACTTATGGGCGAACATCTCGTATCGGAACCTAAAACAATAAACCAAGTTGGGTGCTTTAACCTGCCACTTTAAAGTCCTCTAAGTCTACACCCTTCAATGAATATTTTCCTATTTATTTGTACTAAATCATATGAATTACATTCTCATTCATACAACCTCATGATATTCTTTCCAATTGTTGACTGAGATAATATCAGCCTGGTACTTACATGTTCTCACAACACATTTTAACATCTGGATAGGCCAAATCAAGAAGTAAATGAAGTTCATGGATTTAAATCATCACAACTTCTTTCAACATTAAAGATCAATACTCTCCACAACTTCCATCCAAACTTTAATTACTTATCATTTTAAGGAGAAAGATAACGAAAATTATTCAAAATCCATAGAGAAAATAAAACCACACTTTAGTTTAAAAGTAGAAATCATTGTCAAACCAACAAGAAGTCTCAATTAAACCAAAAGTAGTTCAAAACAAAAGATAAAAACTTATCTCAAATCCTACAACAAATTCTTGAACTTCTTTTGAATCTATTTTCTTTTACAACACTCTCAAAATAAACTAAAAACAAAAAAGAAAAGTAAATTTTTGTGGTGCCTGAAAATCTCTCCAAAATTATCTCTCTAAACTCCTAGAACACCTCTTCTTTTAACTCTTTTCAAAACTTTCAAGAACACCTTCAAATGTCTCAACTTTCTTCTTTTATAAATCTCCAAAAGGTGCCTTGGAAACTCTTCAAAATTTGTCCACATTCGATGAATTCTCCAAAGGAAGCCTCCTTTCATAAGTCTTTTAAACATATTTTTGTTCTTAGTGGTCAAAACCACCCTTTTAAGCCAATAGGTGCCTCAAATACTTCTTCAAAATTTGGCCAAATGAAGAAAACCACCAAATAACTGCCTCTGGTGCTTAAGCGTGGGGCTTCTGGCGCTTAGGCATCGAGGCCTCTAGCACTTAGGCATAGCATTCTCTGTTTCACCAACGCTTAAGCACTGGATCTGGCGCTTAAGCGCCAAAATACTTTGGCACAATTTTCACCTTTTTGCTCCAAATTTGATCTTTTTTCACTCCTTTAACCATTTTTCACTATTTTACTTGTACCTGAAAAAAAAATACAAAAATACTTTCCATTAAAGCACAATGTCTCAAAAATAGGTATAAAAATTTGTCTAAAAGCACTATATATTTTAGGTGTATCAATAAGCTAGATTCTTTTGTCAATTTGGTCTTTCGTTTGGATCAAAGGGTCCCTAGTAGGTTCTATAAAGATGGCACAGTGGGTAATCTAGAAGTGAGGCTAGAATCTACTCAACACTACTACACAAGCTGAAATAAACTTAAGATTAGTCAATGTTCTTTGCATGCACCGAGGGGGTGAGGAATGGGTATACTCCTATTTGTCACACTACATCATTTTATATTTTTAATATATTCAAATCCTACACTGATTAAGATCTCTTTACAAGGGGAATATCTTTTCATAATGTTTGAACTCTTATAAACCTTATTAGTTTAAAAAATTTGCACTTACTTTATGCTTAAAATTAGACTGCTCATAAGTTTATTTTTAATCCTTTACAAATATTTTGATACTATTCTTCTATCATTTTTATCTCCAATTTAGATAGAAGTTTTTCAAAGTCATTATAAAAAGTTACAGTTTCCCTGTGAGATCGATATTGGGTCTTTTAAGGAAAACTCTATATTACTTGAAACGATACTTTACGTGTAGTACCCCGAGTGTGAAACTCATTATTTATTTTCTAAATAATTTTATTTATTCACACCAGCCGCTAATATAATTCGGGCCAAGTTTTTGCAATATTTTGGAATATAAATATTTGTGTGCTTGTGAGTAGGTCAGATTGCATGAATGTCACACAAAAAAGCTCTCCATCCTCCCACGATATCATCTATTAATTTTTCGATAGAATGGTTTTCTCTTTGTGATTTGAGGTTTTCTCTTTATGATTAAGAATTTGGATACAAGACATTTAAAACGGATGCATTTAAGCTTGCCACGATCAAACCGTTGTGAATGTAATAAAAATGAAAAATATGGAATGGTGTTTTATCTCTACTTTGGATGTTTGAGTAATAATTTCAGAAATGGTTGAAATAGGGTTCTTGATTTGTAGATAGCAATGCTTGAAATGTCATGTATGTTATTGTTGGGCTTTTATCATTACATCTAATGTTTGGGTGAGAAATTGAAAAATAGATGAAAAATAATGCTTGATGTGCAGATAACAATTTTTTGGGTAAACTACACACATGACACAAAACCGATGTATTTACGCTTGCCACGATCCAACCTGTTGTGAATTTGATAAAAATGAAAATAATGGGATAAAATTTTATTTTGTAACATTCAAACTGAATATTTATTTTCTAGTAGAAAATATACTAACAAGATTAATTATGTTATAATTAACACTATACTACATAGACAAATATCATTTGTTCAAAAATAGCTACGACATGGCTGTTGCAAAACTGTTAAAAACAGACAATCAGATTCTCAATAACATGTTCCTCGCACAGCTGTTGCGCAACAGCTTTTTAATCTACAGCTGCCCCAACCAGACTCTTAATCTTGATTCTTAAAAACCACTTTTAGTTCATCATAACATGGTCAAAAAATTTAAAACAAACTTTGAGAAGCCATTTAAACCAAACTTTGAGAAGCCACTTCATGATTGAAAAAATGTATCACGTGGGATCCTACTAATTAGTGCGGATTACATTGGAGAGTTTCTCATGGTGCGGTTAACAAATGTTACTTGACAGAAATACTACTCAATAGTTTAAAGAGTATGTTTTAGACAACAAAATCTTAGTTCCATAACTTAAATACCTTATATTTTTAACCAGGCCTAAATATTTGAAATAAAAATATATACCAATAAACGAAACAAAAAGGGTCTAAAATTAATCAAATCCATATATAAACAAAAAACATTAAAATCGAAAGAATATGAACGTCATTAATTCAAGATTAATACCTAAAATATTTTCATAGCAAATTTTATCCACCGTCAAAACAGCATTAAAAGCTAACCAAAACAATTTTTTAACCTGGACCCATTGATCTTCAATTCGATATTCATAATTATCGCCATCCTTAATGAAAGATAATCAGGCGGAAAAGGAAAAGGAAAAGGAAAAGGAAAAGGAAAAGGAAAAGGAAAAGGACGGTGGTGTGGTGAGAATTGATTGTTGCAGCATATTTACAATATTTCTGTAATAAACTATTAAAACACTCCGACCTCTTTGAGGAAAATTTCAGCAAAACAAGCTGTTGGAATCAAACGTACATTGATTTTTTTCGCTTACGTTTAAGTGAAGGCATGGAACTCAAGAAACTTTGGGCTGCAACATTCCCCACCTTGGACTCCTCCCCACCCAAATTTTCAAGCACAATCAGTTTTTCATAAGCAGCTTCACCTTGGCCACTAAACCCGAGATTGGGCTCAATTCCGTGGTGGTTGGCTTCACTAAGCTCCTCTTTAAGACTTCCAGCTGCCATTGACGCACAAGAATTTGTTTCATCATCCACGCAGAATCCTCCTCCAGTAACAAGAAAGTTACTGTTTTCTCCATCCTCCAGGGGCCGGGGCCGTCGACTCTCGGTTGCAGGCGAAGGCTGTTTCTCTGAGATTTCATTCTCTTCTGAGCAGAAACCACCCCCACTATGTAGGTAATCTTGCGACATCATCTGTTGTTTGGAACAGTCAGCCTCGCTGCAAAACGTTGTGGCTTTCGTGACCATTTCATCATGCTGTAAGGCGGCTTCTGCAGTACCTTCAGCATAGTTAACTTGCCTCCGCTGCCGGGTTGACTGTAAGAAATCATGAAGACCACCCAAGGGGAACCATACATTAGCATCGGTGCATGTAAAATCTAGCTGTGGAGGAAATTTAATAGACAGATGCAAAAAAATGCATAAACTTCCAAAAAAGGTTATCAATGTGCACAAGGACAACATTAAGAATGGAAAAGAACAAAATGGTCACCGTGGCTCTTATAAGATCCGTACCGAACTAACATCAATCCTTAAACATAAGGATAATGAAAGCTATGAATCAAAGGAGGCAAAAGCATCAACATAGACAGGATATCATTGAGAAAACGTTCAGAGCAAAAAAGCATACCCTACGCATTTTTGGTGGAGACTCTACTAGCTTCATGCTAGACCTGTGCATTTCGTCGTCAGAAGATTCTGTCAGCTTCTCATTCAAAAGTTCACCTCGTTTGCATTTGCCTCGCAGTGGGGAAGTTCGGATTGGAGCTTTCTTTCTACAATGCTTTGCTGACTTCCTTTCATTTGTGGTAGGATCTGTGTGATTCTCAAGCTCAGATTGTCCCTTGTTACGACGGGTGATCGATCTCTTTTTTGTAGAGCTGGATCCACCATCTATAATATCAGTTAATTCTGACGAATTAATACCAGTAATGCCTTTCACAGCCTTCTTGATACGTTGACTACGTATTTTTGCAAACCTTTCATTAAATGAGTAAAACGCTTCCATCCTGAGTTGAGTCTGCCCATTGACAAACAAAAAAATCATACCAATAATAAAACTCCAAATATAATCAAGCGATGCAAAATTGATAGACCAGAACAAGTGTAAAATATATAATCATAGAGTTGAGTCGAGCAAAACAAAACCTCATGCTTGTTGTACTCCTTCAAAACAGGTACAAGCAGATCATCAGCCTTCTGACTAGGCCAACCAAATTTTTCCCAGCAGGTCCTGTGGAAAGAGAGTTTAACAAAAAATACAGATCATTCATCGAACTATAAGCAAATATTAAAAAAACAAAAAACTGAATCATACAAAAGAGCAATAAACTTTTACAAGCCTAAACTAGGTACCAGACCATTAAACTTATCCATGTGTTTTTTCAACATTTTCAGCGGAAGTTTAAGCAATTTGACTGTAGCACAACAAAGGTATTCATGTATTAAGGAAGGATCCTTGCGATGAAAAATATATATCATAGAGAAATGATTTCATATCAACATAACTGGGGATATTATCCTCCTTTATCTGTTTTCTGATTGTATCATTCTGTGTGCCTGCATATATAACCAAATTATTCATTGTTAAAAAAATTCCTTTCCTCTCAACATGGTATTAAAACAAGAAAACTCTAGCCACCTTCCCGACTAAATACTCACAGCACATATCACCATCTCACTGGTCACACGCCCTACCAGCATGCTCTTGTCCGTAGCACAATGTTGTACACCTGCCTGCTGGCCCCGGTTTTGTTGCCCACAAAAGATCACTCACATTCTAATGTCATTGATAACATGTCACTTACATTCTCATGGCATATATACTCGCAATCTCAATCCTGTTATCCACACACTCGCCATCTATATGCCCACTTGCATCTTCATGATGTGCATGCTACTAAAAATCACACGCCTCTCACGACCACATCTCATAACCAGTGCACCCTATCATTGCCACAACTAGTTTACACATTATTCTTGCATGCTATTCTCACTAGTCAATAATCTAAAATCTCTTTTGTTCTCTGCATCAAGGCTTCTTCTTTATATTATGTGTAACCCTACGCCATCCATGCCTTGAAACATTTCAATGATAGCATTTAATTTATATGGTTGAAGATTCTTTATGTTCTTATTGGTTCTCACGATAAACTCTCTCACCATAATTTTTTTTTTGAAAGATTATACTAAACATTGTCCAATTTCTCAAATGGCAAACATCTAAATTATATGTTACAAAAATGCCTTTAGACCATCTATTCATGATGATTGTTCCCCTTCTAACATCTACTCGTGTTATCTTGGGAGGAACATCCACATTATTTAATACCCCTAAACCAATAAATAAGCTTCTCATTTTGTTTCTTCCACTAGTTCCACTACAATTGTCTCATAAAATATTTCTTGAATTTATAATTCAGATGCCTCTTCCAGTGTGGCACATAATCGGAGAGCAGCGAGAGAGGCGTGAGAGAGACGCAGAGAGAAGTGCTACCTCAGGGCATAAGAAATGCGAGAGAGGGGAGAGCGGGGAGAAGAGGGTAGTGAAGTAATAGAATCACGAAGAAACACAAGCCTCGGGTCAGACTCGTGGCCCGCGTTTAATCCAACTTATCTCAAACCGCCGCCAAGCCATGGTTTCCAAACGGCATGCCCGTCGTTTTCAAAATGCACCGCGCCAAAAAAGCTGCCCCAAACAGGCTCTTAATTGTTCCCCCTTATAGGTTCAAACATATTTTTTGGTATGTCTGTTGTCATGTTACATCTTGATGGCTCAATCAACCACTACAAAACTCAAATAATTAGCAAAAGGTTCATCAAATTCTAAGGGAAACATTATTTTAACACCTTCCAAGTTGTACTATTTAACTTTGTTAAAATTATCTTATTTGCAGCAATCAATCAAGGTTAGATTATGCAAATAAATGAAGTAATGTTTTCCTTCAAGGAGAATTGCAAGGGGAAATTTACATAGAGCAGCTTTCCAATTATGTTGCTTATGGGAGAACCACATGGGTCTTTAGAGAAAGCTATCATTGAATTTAAACAGGGTCCATAAGTACAAAATCAAGCATACTATACCATTCTATAAATATTATAAAGTACAAAATCAAGCATATTCAAAACTATACCATACTATTTGCTAATGTTAATAACACCTTACTCACTGGATTTGATCTAACATCTCTAAAATACCATTTCCGAAGGATCTCTGCCAACAAAAAGGTGACAGAATTTTATTTTTTTTTATAGTAGAAGGAGAATATTATTTTCTCAAAAGAAATATGCTACTAATATTCTTGACAAAACAAGTCATCATTATGGTATATCTTAAAATACTCCTATGAAGATTCAATGTATCTGATGATGAAAAACCTCTTATCTATCTCAATATAGAAGGTTAACTAATATACTATTTTATCTTATACCAAGTATGGCATTTACTAACAAAGTTGTTCAATGGATTTTCAATTATATCCAAAAATTCCTAGAAAATAGTTGCTATAATACTAAAGATGAGCATTAGAGTCCCGTCTGGAATGATTGTGGTTTTATAAATAAGGTTGTAAATTTGCTGTGAAAAATAGAACTTTTTAAAAAATCATTGAGAGCATTGTAAATATTATGTTTTTAAAAAGTCGGACAATAACTTTCTTGTAGCTACCCAACATGATTATTTTGAAAAAACGGCAAAAAAAAAACAGTAGCTAAAAACATGTGGTGACGACCTAAAAAGCATAGTAAGTAAGCTACCCCATATAGACCTCTAAATATCCAAGCATTCTCTAATGTCAATTATAATATCTCAGTAAAAAACAGATAAGTTAACCTTAGAATATTATATCTTCTAATGGATAATCTGGTTACCTGGGAAAAAAAAGGCAGACTGTTATAGGGAGATCCACATATGAAGTTGAAAACAAAGCGATAGCCCATTCTGAGTGTAAAATGATGCGAGTAAAAACTCTTCTAGAAGAGTAAATTTCCTATCACTTATGATATTATCTTAGAACAATTATACCGTCATCCACTTTGCCAGCAATTTCATTTTTCATGAATGAACATACAGAAGTGGTTTATCTTTCCATACAAAATTTTATGCTTTCCAAAAAATTATTACTCATGTTTTCATTTTGGAACGAATATCAGGTAACTTTAATTAAAAATCTAGGGACATTTTATAGTTTATGTTAACAAGCTGGTGCTAGAGGGTATCTGCTCTAACATGCATAGTAGTACTGATGTATTATTTAGGCTCTTTGTATTGAAATTAATCAAGAGAAGATATGAATTGATGTCCTTATAATTGGTTATTACTATTCTTTGATTCATATTTGAGCCATGTACGCCTAAGCATGGGCCTAACCTAATCCAATCAGTAAATAAATAAAAAATTCTTTCCTCTCAACGGAGAGGAAGACATTTTGGTTATGTTAGGTTTAAGAGAATTAGAAGGAATACATGCATTTTAATAAAAACTTTTATATAGAATGCGGTGACTACAGTTTCACGGTATATGATAAATAATTGAATTTACCAAAGAAAAATACATTTTTTCATTGTCAATTCCCCACCCAAGCCAAGTGAATATAAGACGATAATGTTGGCATCAATTTTTGGATGTCATAGGTGTAGGGTGTCCACCTGTGATCGACGATAATTAGTTATCGCGCCACGCACGAATTTGACTCGAATTGGCCCGATCATCACGAAGTAGTCCAAGACAATCCAGAATGACAAAATGGACTGCGCGGTCGCGTCCGGGGCGTCAATTTTGTCTAGGGGAGACCCTCGTTTTATTATGAGGACGTGTTCGGCGAAATTGTGCGGAGAGTTTGTAAGGATAATAATAATATTAATATTATTATAATATAAATAATTATAATAATAATAAAGAAAACCTGATCTCTCATTCTATTTAAAACGCACGCCTCACCCTCTTCCATGGATATGACAAGTGAGCTCTCCCATTCTAATTCAAACACACGCCTCACCCTCTCCCATGGATATGACAAGTGAGTTTCTCTCTCATAATAAATGAATAAAATAAATTACAATCTTTTTTATCTTTTTTTTTTTTTTTTGGAGAGAAACAACGCATCTATTTCTTAGGGATCGCATCCTATGGCATTTTTTTTTCTTTTCTCCTGCTCCTAGACGAAAAGGAGGAACCCCGTCTCTGGTTTTCGCGAACCGCTCGCCCCGTCTCTGGTTTCGCGAAAGGCTGCCACCCCCCTCACGATTCGCTCCTCTTTGCCGACAACAGCGCCGACTCCGTCACCACCGACCATCGCACGCTCCTCCCTGCCGATTCGCGACTTCCGAACCGCCAACCTACCAACCTCTCCTTCTCCTTCTCCTTCTCCTTCTCTTTCTTCTCTTTCTTCTCTTTCTTCTTCTTCTTCTTCTTCTCGGCCAACCCTGCCGGCTTTTACCTTGCCGGTGTTGTGTTTTCGCCGGAGTAAAGCCAATCTCGCCAGATTTCCTTCATCTCGCCAGCTTTTTCCTTGCCAGTGTTGTGTTTTCGCCGGAGTAAAACAGTGAGGAGAAGCTTCACATTTGAGTTTTCCCTCCACATCTCTTCCACTTTCGGCATTCGCCGCTGACAAACTAGCATCCACCACTTCGCCGTCTCGCTTTTCCGGCAATCTGACACCTCGCCGGACCGCCCCGACGTTGTTGGACCGCGAGATTCGACGTCGATCGGAAGGATACGAGGAATTTTTACCTTACGTGCAGACCCCCGCCAAACTTCTTTAGGCTTTGTGTAAACCACGCGACGGTATAACTCTTCTTCCCCTTCGCATTTTATTTCATAGACGGCCTTAGGTTGTAGGTGTGATAGGCGTGGGTTCGATCGCCCACACGGTATGTGCACCGGCGTAAGTCGGCGCGTCGGCACGCTTATGTGATGGATCGATTGTTTTCCTAGAGGTGACCTATAGGATAGAATCCCCTTACGCAACTAATTTTCCTACGATAGCCGAGTGAATCTTATTTGACTGATAGTCTTAGCACAAAAATCCTAGAGGTTGGAGCTCCCTTCGCTCTCCTTTGCTTTGGTTGTCCCGATCTTTTCGAAAGATCGAAAAGTAGATCTTTGAAAATGAGAAAATGCGAGTCATTAGCTCATTTTGCAAAGCTCGGAGGCGTCGTGAAATCGGGAAAAGCGTTGTCGCTAGCCTGTTTTATGACGAGATGAAGAACTTCCCCCTTTGAATATCCAAGGCG